CTTGTAATATATTCGCTTCTCGCTCTCGTCGGCCTTGGCAGAAAGGGGCTTGTAATCTGGGTGCGACTGAGCCTCCACAGGTGTTGCCATCCTCACGAATGGCGGGCCCTTGATATCGTTCTCTTCCCCTTCCCATGGCCGGCTGTCTGCTGCGTTCGACTTCTGGCTGTTGGAACGTTGGCGACGCTTGCTGGTCTGAGCCGTGTCCGACATACTCTGCGACGCCTTCCAATGCGTTCCGCATTTGATGCAATTCATCTGCTTGAGCCAGTTCTGCTGTCCGCATTTGCACGTCCATGTCGCTGCCCATCGCGCCGTCTGAGTGGGCGCCCTTTTGTTGGACTGCCCGGACTGGGATAAAACAAAACAAACTGGAAGTGGCCGAAATGACTGCGGCACATTCCCTTGGACAAGTGAATGTCCCTTCGAGGGGTGGATCGCGCGAGAAATAGAATATGGCTCGGGGGCCTTGGTCCCCTGAACCACCTCGAGAATGGTTTACTTGAGCCAAACATGGCTTGAGCCAAGATGGCTACGGTCCTCCTCCTCCTCCTCCTCCTCCTCCTCCTCCTCCTCCCCCTCCCCCTCGCCGTCCTCGTCGCCCTCGCCGTCTTCATCGTCCTCGTCGACGTCGTCGCCACCTTCGTCGTCGTCTGAATTGCTCGATGTCAGCGCCAGGCTCTCTCAGCCCCTAGAGACGTGCGGGCTCCCTCTCCCTTTCTTCGCCACTTGTCTCTACTTTCTCTCCCGCTGCCCCGCTGGGGGCTCAAGACTTTCTGGGTCAAGCGTCAAGCCTGGGGTCGGCCTCATCTGGCAAGGCCGCGAACTCTGGAGGCCCACTCCTAGGGCCGCGGGTCCCAGAAGGGTGCCTCCGGGGCCCGAAGGTGCACCTTTCTCCCCCCCCCCCGCCTCATGCATCGCCCCCCCCCCAGGAGGCGACGCCCAGCACTCCCGAGGCCCGCCGGGACTCCGGGGGCCCCCCCAAAGAAGCCGCCGCGCGCCGCCGCGCGGGGCAGCGCGGCCCGCGGCCCCCGCCGGGCGCCCGGGCAGACGGCCGCCGCCCCCTGGGCGGAGGAGCGCCCGCCCGCCGCGCGGCGATGCTGCCCGCGCCGCGGGGGGCCCCCGGCTGCGCGCGCACCTCGCCGCACCTCTGCAGGTGCTCCGCGCGCTGGCGCGTGGCTGCCTGTGCTGACGCGCTCGCGCCGCGCTGGCGCGGGGGCTCCTGGGGCGAGCGGGTGGGCCGTCGGATTCGGCACGACCGCGCTCGAAGGCCCGGCCTCAAGGCTGGCGAACGCGCGGGCGGCCTCCGGCCCCAACAGCCTGCCGCCAGCGATCGGGCTCGCGCCCGGCGGCGCCCCGCTGGGCTACAGGCTTCGAGCCTGCCCGGCCTCGGCACCACGGGGGGCGCAGTATACAGGTGCTACTCGCTCACGCACGACGACTCGGATACCCCCGTGGACTGACGAGGGGCCTGGCGAGCTCGGGCCCGCCGCCAGCGGGGGCCCCCCGCCCGGCGAGCCTCCCGAGCCGCCGGCCCCAACGAGCGCATGCCCCACGCCATTGGGCGGCTCCGTCGGGACGACGACAAGGCGGCCCAGAAGTGGGCGCTGGCCTCGATCAGGCGGTCGGAGGAGCTGAACGCCAAACCGGCGAAGGCGCGCGACGTCCTCGCGGTGGAGGCGTGCGGCGCGCTCCTGGGGAGGGGGCTCTTCCACCGGGCTGCGCTGCGTGCGAGCGCGCCAAGCACCCCGTGCAGGCCGTGCACTTCCCGACAACCGTCTCGAGCAGGAGGTGGCCTCGTTCGGCTGGGCGGGCAAGGATCGCGTGGCACTCCTGGCCTGGGCACCCTCGCGATCGGTGGCCGACGCCCTCCGCTGCCGTGGAAAAAAGATTTCGATGCCTGCGCGGTGCCCGCCGACGTGAAGCTGGAGCCCCGCCCTCGGCGCCCTCTGGCGTGCTCGGCGTGGGTCAAGCAGGCGGGCTCGTCTACAGAGGGGGGCGCGAACGCGAACGGCTGAGGACGACGACGCGGCGTTCCCGGTCGCCCACGCGCACGGCCGCTGGGAGGAGTCGGTGGCAGCGTCGGCGGAACAGTACTCAGGAGAAGCGCCGGGAGCTGTGCCAAATCCTCGGGGCGTCGGACCCGACGAAGGAAAACCTGAGGCCGCGCGCGCTCGCGCCCAGCAGCTCGGGCGGGCCGCCTGCTTCAAGTTCCCGAACACGTTCGACTCGGAGGCGGCGGTGGACGGCAACCACCTTGTGGCGCGCGTGCAAACGCAGCACTGGCGGCTCTAGAAGCTTCTGCGCCTGAGCCTGCACGGGACAGGGTCGCGAGCGCCGCCGGGGACTGGAGGGCCTGAGGATCTTCGCGCCTGCCAGCCACCACTACCACCACCACCACCACCGCAGCCCAATCGTGCACCAGACGCGCTAGCCAGCGCTGGCGCCCAAGGGGCGAGCTCCCACTGCGTCAGGGCGAACAGCCCGCGCCTACCCACCGGACAAGATGCTTTCTCCAGGAGAGATCGGGCGGCGCGTCAAACATGCACCCCAAGACCGCAATGGGAAGATTATCCGCTGGGATGCGCGCACATGGATGGGATGCTCAAAGACAAACGCCACGTGCGCACATTCGCAGCAACCCATCTAGGGCACGACTGGCATCCACTGGACGCCAGGCCCAGCTGATTTAGACGGGCGGCCTCGAGCCTGGCGCCAAGCAAAGGAGGAGAGCGAACGAGCTGCAGGCCCCCCGCCCGCTCCGGCAGGCGGGCCAGGCTGCCGCCCCGCAGGGCCAGACCGATCCGGCGTGGTCGCCCCCCCCCCCCCCCCCCCCCTGGATGACTGGACCGCCCCGCCAGTCTACGGCGATCTCCTATGCACCACGATGGAAACCGAGCCGCGCGAGGCGGTCCTCGGCCCCGACGCGAGCTGACTGGCGCTGGACACCGCGCTGAACTCTATGATGACAGTAGGAGAAAAATTGGAAACGAAATGCTCCACTTTTCGCATGGAAGCATTTGAATACGCATCAGATCAGCGGCAGCTTGCATCAATCACATCCGGCGTTGCAAACGCGTCTGGGCCAAAAGGTTGACAAACATTCTGCACCGCTCGGATCGCTCCTGGGCGGCGGCCCCATCCGCTCGGCGGCGGCCCCGTCCGCGCTCGAACCGCCTTGAGACTGTCCGACTCCTAATTCAATATGATCAAGAATGACAGTCGGATGAGTCCCCACATCTGCACTACATGGTACAAGCTCACGCATCGGACGCGCCCGATGGTGGTCTCAAACAGTCTCAAAGGGTCTCCATGTGCCCCGAAACCCTCGGCGCCGAGCACATCCGCGAGTCTCACATGGTCTCAAAACGCCACGAAACCCTCGGCGCCGAACGCAGTCGCGCGTCTCAGAGGGTTTCAAATCGCCCTAAACCCTCGGCGCCGAGCACATCCGCGAGTCTCACATGGTCTCACCGTGCCACAAAAACCCTCCGCGCCGAACGCATTCGCGCGTCTTCAAGGCTGTCAAATCGCCACGAAACCCTCGGCGCCGAGCCCATCCGCGAGTCTCACATAGTCTCACAATGCCACGGAACCCTCAGCGCATAACGCATTCGCGCGGTTCAAAGGGTCTCACAATGGCCGGAAACCCATGGCGCCGAGCACATCCGCGCTACTCACGTGGCCTCACAGTGCCACGAAACCCTCCGCGCCGAACGCACTCGCGCATTTCAAAGGGTCCCACAATGCCCCGAAACCCTCGGCGCCGAGCACATCCGCAAGACCTACATGGCCTCGCAGTGCTACGAAACCCTCGGAGCCGAAGGCATTCATGCGTTTCAAAAGGTCTCGCAATGCCAGGAGACACTCGAAATGGCCACGGTTCCTCGCGCGGTTCGGGCTAGCTCCAACGAAGGACTCGGCCGACGTGCGAGCTCTTGAACATTTTTCAATGCGAGGGAGAGGGGGGGAAGGCAAGCTAGGTGCGCTCGCGTCATAGCTGACGTCCTACTTCTTCCTACCATCCCTTGCAACGGCGCTGCTGTTTCTCTATTCGCGGGCGCGTGTCGTAGCGGAGCTGTGGCTCCGACAAGGGGCGCGTCTGGCAGGACCATGGGGTAGAATGTACGAGTGGTGGTGGCGTGCGTGGTGGTGGTGGCGGCGGCGTGTGTGTGTGTATATGTGTGTGCGTGCATGTGTGTGTGTGTGCGCGCGTGCGTAGTGGTTGGTGGTGCGCGTGCGTGCGTGCGTGGTGGTAGGTGTGTGCGCGTAAATAAGGCGACGCACTGCGATGCGACCACGTGCGATGCAACGCAAGGCCATGCAGAGAAATGGAGCCGAAGCGGCCGCACGCATTGGACCAAACCTGGACATCGCGCGTTCGCGCAAGGCATTCCGTACCACCACAAACCGAATGGAGACGCCGCGAAGAACGTGGCCCCCACGCGAGCGCGAAATCCATCTCCGAGCATTTCTCCTCAGACTGTAGGTGTGTCTTCTCGCATTCATTGCTCACCGCCGGAAGGATGCAAAGCAATTCCTTTTCAAACGGCCCATCGGTTGTTGGTCGTTCAAGGGGCCGCCGGCTTGTGGTGAAAGGGAAGGCTTGTAGGCACTTATGAAGAGAGGACTTGGGACTGGAGGGTGAACTGCAACATCGTTGATGCATCTTGGGATCCTGGGTTTACTCTGGTCCGTTTCCTCCTCCTCCTCCTCCGCCTCCTCTCTGATCCTCCTGCTCCTCCTGCTCCTCCTGCTCCTCCTCCTCCTCCTCCTCCTCCTATTCCTCCTCCTCCTCCTATTCCTCCTCCTCCTCCTCCTCCTCCACCTCCTCCTGCTCCGTGATCCTACCTTCTACTCCCTGCTGCTACTGCTCCTCCTCCTCCTCCTCCTCCTCCTCCTCCTCCTCCACGTTCTCCTCCTCCACCTCCTGAATCTGCTCCTCCTCCTCATCCTCCACCTCCACCCCGCGGGGGTCTACCAAGCATTGTGCCTCGCTCCTCGGGCTTCCGATGGCGAGGCCCTCGACTGCCTGCGCGTGCGCGGCGCCGGCGGGGCCGAACGTCTGCGCCCCGGACGCGTGCGGGAACTCCGTGCGCCCCGGCACCCCGACAGATCGCCGCGGCGGCGAGGCCGCCACCACGCCCGCGGGAGGTGGCACGGGGGCCGCGTGGGCGGGCCGCGCCGCCAGCGCGGCGAAGGCCGCGGCGTACACGGGCGGCGGCGACGTCGGGAGCAGGGCCGCGAAGGGGCGCCTGCGCGGGGGTGGGGGACCACGAGGGCGAGGCTGGGGCAATGAGCTCACTGAAAGCCAAAAGACGGTCGCTGGAAGCAGCACCCCTGCTTGCACAGAAGGCAGGGATTGGTCGAGGGCCGATTCCTTGTTCTGAGAGCAAGCACTGTTTGGCCAGCGAGGGCAGCCTTTTCTGCCTGAAGGCAGTTTGTTTGCCTTCACAAACAGATACCTTCAGGACTTACGCCTGCAGACTGATTTTTGCCTTGTGCCTTCAACGGGCGCCTTCTGAAGGTGGGAGACCACGAGCCCAAGGCTGGGGCTGGGCTGGCGCTCGCCAGGGCTGGCAAGGCGCTCGGGAGCGCAACCGTCTGGGTTGGTGACTGCGCCGCAGGGTGCGCGAAGGCCGTGCCCCGAGGGGAGCGCGGGTGGGCGGCGGCCGACGATCCGTGCGCGGCGGGGTAGGCAAAGGACGAGAGCTGCGGCGACCCGTGCACTGTGGGGTAGGCGAAAGACGAGAGCTCTGGCGACCCGTGCGGGGCGGGGCAAGCGAAGGTTGTGGCCTTCGGCGACCAGTGCGTGCTCGGGTAGGTGAATGACGAGAGCTCTGGCGACCCCTTCGCGGCAGGGTAGGCGAAGGCGGCGCCCCTGGGCGACCGCGGGCGGGCCACAGTTGGCGTTCCGCGCGCAGCGGGGTATGCGAAGGACGAGAGCTGCGGCGACCCGTGCTCTGTGGGGTAGGCGGGGGACGAGAGCTCTGGCGACCCTTGCGCGGCGGGGCAGGCGAAGGTCGAGGCCTTCGGGGACCCACCTGACGCGAGGAATACTGCTGCTGGCGGCGAGGGCATGTGCGTAAAGGCGCCGCTAAAACGCATCGTCGGCAACACTGGCGAAGACGAGCGGTCGCACGCCGGGCCGAGGCGCGCGGAGACCGCGGGCGACGCTGGCTTCCAGGTGCTGCTGCTGGCGCTGAGGCCGCGGGCGACTCTGGTGCCCAAGCCGCCGTGCTCCTCGAACACCAGAGTGCCGCAGGCGTCCGCCGTCGCCGGGTCCTGCCTGGGCGGGGACGTTTCCCTGTCGGCGGATTCCTTCTCGGGGCAGGCGGAGGCGGCACGCAGGCAGTCGCCGCCCTCGCCGACGCCGCTGCCCGCCGAGCCGTCGTCGCCTGCGCTCGCAAGCCCCAGCAAGTCGGCCTCCGTCACCCCAGACGGCCCAGGGCGGGCCTCGCCCGTCCAGGCCGCGGGGTCGCCCAGGGCTAAGTAGTCCGCGACTCGGCCTGCCGAGCCTCCGCCCCCCGAGCTCGCCGACGGGCGCCCGGCCAGCGGCGGCGCGCCGAGCTGCGGGAGCCCGAGCGAGGGCTCGAGCTGCTGGACGGTCCGAGGCCCCGGAGACGGGCGCGAGCGCAGGGGCTCGCGCTCCGAGTCCGACGAGGCGCCCGTCGGCGTCGCCTCCGGCAGGGCGGCCCGCTCCGCCGTCGCGGCGGAGCCCCCTGGGGCGAGGCCGGGCTGCGCAACTGCGGAGGCCTCGTAGCTGGCGAACACGGCCGCGAGGTCCTCCTCGGCGCCCTGCGCGGGCGGCAGCGGGGTCGCGGGCAGATCCGCCTCCGGGCCGCTGGCTGGGCCGGTGGCTGCCCCTGCGGAGCCCGCGAGCCCCTCGGAGGGCTTCAGCAGGAACGATGAGTCAGCCTGTGCGGGGCCGTCTTAGGGACTTCCACCTATATTGCCCAATTGTTCAACGCATGTGTGGCGCGCCTACATCTGCCTTGAGTCGGGGATGGACAGACCTCCCTTTCAGTAAAACGTGGTTTAGTGAAAACGACCTGAGGCCCAAACCTGGCGGGCGCAAGCCTGGAAAATAACGGCCACGGCGCCCTCTCGAGAACCGAGAACGGACACTTCACTAATCGACGTGTCACTGTTGGGGGTTCTGTCCACCCCCGATTGAGGGCAGCATCCAGGACTGGTGTTGCGCCGTGTCTGGGGCTGTCTTGAAGTCCTCCAGGCGGCGGTCTTCGTTGACCGTTTGGACGCTGTCTAGGGAAACTTTGGGGCAGTCTCGGAAGTATTCTTGGGACCCTGGTGGGTCACCCAGGCTACGACTGGTGCACTTGAACAGATGCGTTTGTTGCATTTCCCTGTAAATAACCGTCTCCCCAGAGCGTTTCGGGAACAAGCTGAGTCTGCTTCAGGCGTGCTCGGAGTTTGTACGGCTCTTGGGGTCGATGTTGATATTTTTGGGCAATCAAGCATGAAGGGCCTCGGGGCCGTCTTGGCGTCGACTGCTGATCCTGAGAGGCCGTCTTGGGGCGGCCTTTGGCCCGACTCGGGGCGGCCAGCTTCTTGGGGCGGGCCATCCAGAGGGAATCCTGGATCACGTGCCGCTTGGCGCACACCGAGGACCTGTTGAAACTGCCGCTGCTCTTTGAATATCCTGTGCCTTCGGGGTGTTCTTGGAAGCCTCCTCGAAATCCGCCGACCCCTTGGGGTTCATTGGCGTGTGAAATGTTTCCTCCTCCCCCAACCCACCCCCCAGGAGCCCAGTCCGGTCGATTTCCAAGAGGCCCTCTGGACGGAGCGAAATGGCCACGAGCCGCAAAATATTGATCAACGCTGGCCTCCAGACTGCCCAAGAGGCTCCGGAAACGCCCCAAGAAGCCCTCCAGCGTCCTGAAACGGACTCGAAGAGAAAAAGTCGCCCGATTTCCATCGGCAAACTTGTCAGAGTGAGGGGGCCGACCGGTCATTCATTGTCCCTGGGTGCGTGGCTGTAGTGAGAATCCGTGGTGGGGATTATGCTTGATGCGTAGTAGTAGTAGTAGTAGTAGTAGTAGTAGTAGTAGTAGTAGTAGTAGTAGTAGTAGTAGTAGTAGTAGTAGTAGTAGTAGTAGTAGTAGTAGTAGTAGTAGTAGTAGTAGTAGTAGTAGTAGTAGTAGTAGTAGTAGTAGTAGTAGTAGTAGTAGTAGTAGTAGTAGTAGTAGTAGTAGTAGTAGTAGTAGTAGTAGTAGTAGTAGTAGTAGTAGTAGTAGTAGTAGTAGTAGTAGTAGTAGTAGTAGTAGTAGTAGTAGTAGTAGTAGTAGTAGTAGTAGTAGTAGTAGTAGTAGTAGTAGTAGTAGTAGTAGTAGTAGTAGTAGTAGTAGTAGTAGTGGTAGTAGTAGTGGTAGTAGTAGTTGTTGTTATTGTAGTTATAGTTGTAGTTGTTGTTGTTGTTGTTGTTGTTGTTGCTGTTGCTGATGCTGATGCTGTTGTTGTTGCTGTTGAATTCTCATTTCTGAAAAATAATTATTGTTGATCCCCCCCTCCCACCGGTGCATACTGTTTTTCTCAATCAAAGTGTGCCCCTCGACGTTCGCACCCTGTTTTTTGACAGGGAAAGTCTTGGTGCTCAAACTGAGCCCCTGGCCCCCGGGTTACAACAACAACGGCTCCCGCCTGAGACTTCCTTACAAGTTAGCCAAGACCCCCGCTCCCGCCCGAGACATCCTCGCATGTTGTTCAGGAATCGCGCTCTCGCTTGGGACTTCCTTGCCAAATTTATTCAGGAATCGCTCTGCCGGCGCTCTGGAGTCGCGCTCTCGCTGGAGACTTGCTTGCAACTTACTGAAGAATAGCCTTGCGTTGAAATTTCCTCCAATTTGCCCAAGCGCCGCGCTCCCGACGCCCAGGCACCCAGGAATCGCGCCCGTTGTGGCCCCATGTGCATGCCCTTCGTGGCCCCGCTGTCGCCATTTGTATCCCCCTCACTGTCCTGCGTGGCCCAGTTGCTACCCTCAGTGGCCCCATGGTTGCCTTCTGTGGCCCCGCATTATCTGCACTTCGTGGCCCCCGCTCGTTCGCGCTCTTCGTGGCCCCATACGCATTCCCTTCGTGTCCCCGCTGTCGCCTTCGTGGCCTACTTCGTGCCCTTCGTGGCCCTGCTGTCGTTCTCTCTCGCTCTCGCTTTCGCTCGTCGTCGCCGTCGTCGTGGTCGTCGTCGCCGTCGTCTTCGACGTCGTCGTCGTCGTCGTCGTCGTGATCGTCGTCGTCGTGGTCGGTCCCCTGTCCGTCCCTCTTGGGGTCGGGTCGACGGTCCGCGGCCGCCCCGCCGATCAGCGCTGCCGCTGGCCAGGCCGACGGTCCGCGGCTTGCCGGGGCCCGGCCTGCATGGAAGAAAAGTATACCCCCCAAATGGGGTTCGATCGAAGACGAAGAGGGCGGGTATCGAGGGTTTGGGAAATACGCGTTATTGGACACTCGAGCATATATGGGCGAATAGTCTTAAAATTATTATTATTATTATCAGTATCATCATTATTATTATTCTTATTATTATTATTTTTATTATTGTCATTATTATTATTATAATTATTATTATTATTATTAACATTAATATTATTATTATTATTGTTATTATTGTTGTTGTTGTTGAATTCTCATTTCTGAAAAATATTGCTGATCCCCCTCACCGGTGCATGCTGTTTGTTCTCAATCAAAGTGTGCCCCTCGACACTCGCACCCTGTATTTTTACAGGGAAAGTCTTGATGCTCAAAGTGGGACCCTGGCCCCCGGGTTACAACAACAACAACAACAACGGCTCCCGCCTAAGACTTCCTTACAATTTAGCCAGGACCCCCGCTCCCGCACGAGACTTCCTCGCATGTTGTTCAGGAGTCGCGCTCTCGCTTGGGACTTCCTTACCAAATCTATTCAGGAATCGCTCTCCCGGCGCTCTGGAGTCGCGCTGTCGCTGGAGACTTGCTTGCAACTTACTGAAGAATAGCCTTGCGTTGAAATTTCCTGCTATTTGCCCAAGCGCCGCGCTCCCGACACCCAGGCACCCAGGAGTCGCGCCCGTTGTGGCCCCATGTGCATGCCCTTCGTGGCCCCGCTGTCGCCATTTGTGTCCCCCTCACTGTCCTACGTGGCCCAGTTGCTACCCTCAGTGGCCCCATGGTTGCCTTCTGTGGCCCCGCATTATCTGCACTTCGTGGCCCCCGCTCGTTCGCGCTCTTCGTGGCCCCATACGCATTCCCTTCGTGTCCCCGCTGTCGCCCTTCGTGGCCTACTTCGTGCCCTTCGTGGCCCTGCTGTCGTTCTCTCTCGCTCTCGCTTTCGCTCGTCGTCGCCGTCGTCGTGGTCGTCGTCGCCGTCGTCTTCGACGTCGTCGTCGTCGTCGTGATCGTCGTCGTCGTGGTCGGTCCCCTGTCCGTCCCTCTTGGGGTCGGGTCGACGGTCCGCGGCCGGCCCGCCGATCAGCGCTGTCGCTGGCAAGGCCGACGGTCCGCGGCCGCCCCGCCGCTTGCTGGGGCCCGGCCTGCAGGGAAGAAAGGTAACCCCCCAAAAGGGGTTCGATCGAAGACGAAGAGGGCGGGTATCGAGGGTTTGGGAAATACGCGTTATTGGACACTCGAGCATATAAGGGCGAACAGTCTTAAAATTACTGTTGTTGTTGTTGAACTCTCATTTCTCAAGAATCAATATTGTTGATCCCCCCTCACTGGTGCATACTGTTTTTTCTAAATGAAAGTGTGCCCCTCGACGCTCGCACTCTGTTTTTTGACAGGGAAAGTCTTGGTGCTCAAACTGGGCCCCTGGCCCCCCAGATTACAACAACGACGGCTCCCGCCTGAGACTTTCTCACGATTTACTCAGGATCGGTGCTCCCGCCTGTGACTTCCTCGCAATTCAGTCAGGACCCCATCTCCCATCTGAGACTTCCTCACAATTTACTCAGGAACGGCGCTCCCGCCTGAGACTTCCTCGCAATTGAATCAAGACTCCCACTGCGTCGGCCAGGGGTGTCCCTAATTGGGTTGACCCGAGAAGCCCGAAAAGCCAGAAAAACTAGAAAAAGTCCCGGGTTGACCCGAAAAGCCTGAAAAGCCAGAAAATCCCGAAAAGCCGAAACATCCTCGCAACTCGAACGTCGCCGCTCGAGACATCCTCGCAGCTCTGGCCAGGGTAGCCCGAATAGCCCAAACAGCCCGAATGGGCGCCCAGGTCACCGGAAAAGTCAGAAAAAAGCCCGGCAAAGCCTGAAAAGCCCGAAAAGCCAGAAAAGCCCGAAAAGCCCGAAAAGTCCGAAAAGCCCGAATCGGTTGAATAGCTCGAGGGCGCTTGCCGCTCGAAACATGCTCGCAACTCGAGCGCCGCCGCTCGAGACATCCGCTAGGGGGCCGGATCGGATCGGGCAGGCGTACCCTCGCGGGCGGGTCGGGTCGGGCGTGCGGAACAGTAAAGTATGACGCATGCTCCAAAAAGAACACGCACGCGCAATCCTGACGGGCAGGTCGGATCGGATGCGGACCTTCACGGGCGAGCGTGCAGGGCAGGCGGGACACTGAAGTATGACGCGAGCTCGAATTGAACACGCACACGTAACCTTGACGGGCTGATGGGGTCGGGCGGGCGGAGACTACTGGGCGGGTCGGGTCGGGCGTGCGGAACATCAAAGTATGACGCAGGCTCGAAAAATAACACGCAGACTTAACCCTGACGGGCGAGTCGGATCGGGACCTTAACGGCGGGCGGATCATGAAAGTATGACGCGCGCTCGAAGTAATAAGCACGCACAACGCTAATGGGCGAATCGGTTCGGACGAGCGGAGACTAACGGGCGGGTCGGGTCGGGCGGGCGGGACATTAAAGTATAACGCATGTTCAAAAAAACACGCACGCGTAACCTTAACGGGCGGATCGTGTCGGGCGG